TCATTCCCGACATCATAGCAGGGAGAATCGTTTGTTTATAGATGAAAGGTTTGTTCTGGAAGAGAATGATATAGCAGATGAAGTACATATTCGACGCCAAGAAGATGCCCAAGAAGTGAGCCAAGACGTAGTCGATACCTTCCGGAGATGCCTTTCCATTGTCTTGTAAATACTTCGATGGATCAAACGCTGAGCCAAACAACACACCAGCTACTACAGCTAAGATGACTCCAACTATCATTTGGACCCATTTCGGCCATGCTTTGATCATAATGAAAATCGGAGACTCCTCTTCAACTTCTTTGAATTCTTGTTTCTCCTCTTCTTTCGGTCCATCTTCTTTCACTTCAGTCTCAGGTGCTTTAGTTAAGTCGGTTTTGTTCTCAGCATTCTCATTACTCTTTTCGCTCTTATCAGACATTTCAACAGCCTTCGGCGTGTTCTCACTCTTCTCTCCTTCACCGCCCTCTTCTTTCTTCTTAGCTTCTTCTGCAGCAGCTCGTTCTTCTTTAGTCGAAGTCTTGATGAACGCGTAGAATGGAACAGAAAGCGCTGTTAAGACTGCACCAACGCAATTCAACCAGAAGATCTTCACATTGTTACGATCAGAAGCAAGTCCAAAGAACCCAAACGTTCCTGTTAACCAGCCCATGACCATGTTCCCTGTTAATTAGCATCTTGTCTATGTATAGAATAATAAATAATAAAATATACTATAAAATATACTATAGTATTTTAGTATATACAATAATATATTTACTATATTAGAATAGTTAAAAGTGTTAATAGGAGTTAATAGTAAAACAAACCAATACCCCAAATACCAGGACCAAGGGAAAGCCCAATCATCTGAATCACAGGAACACATAACATGTTTCCAGTACACCAAATGGCTCCCCCAAGAAGAGCAAATGGCTCTAAGTAAATCAAAGTTTGGTTACTGGCACCAGCAATCATTTGAGTGAAAATACCAACGATAAGAATACCTATACACATGGCCCACTGGAAGAACACACCATCACCAGAAGGTACTTTCTTGGCGACGACCCAATTGGAGCCGAAGAAAGCAATTGCAATGATTACACAAATATAGCCAACAGCTTCGTTTGCCATGAGATGAATTTGACATTTGTGAGATTTTTGTGTTTAAATAGTGCGGTGGAATCCAACAAAAGAATTACTTCGGGTGTTTCGTAAGTCGATCGCTTCGTTTTTTTCATAAGAAAATTGTTTCGTTGCTCCGAAGAATGCATTTTGAAAAAAGTGTGAAGGAAAAATTTGAGACAGAAATTGCCAAATTGGGAAGAATCCCTCTGTTATGTTTTTTTTATTCCATTTTTTCAAACGATCCGATATGTTTTTTTTTATTGTTTTTTTAAGGAAATATCCGTTTGATTCAAATGAATTTTTAAAAATTTTTAATTTACGAATTTTTATCGGAATGAGAATGTGATTATTATAACGGTGCGATCATTTTGAAGTCATACTTTGACTTATTCATTTAGTTTTTCAAAGACAAAAGAGAAGTAGAAACTATAATTAAGTTGGTATTTTATAATTTAGTTAAACTAACTTGTATTTATTTTCCACAAAAACCGAAAGAAGGATAAATTTGAGTTCATACTAATTTCCCTTTTTTGTAGTCTTTTTTCCTTTCTTATTATTTTGAGTCAAAAAGTCAAAAAGTATGTTTATATGAAAAAAAAAATTTTTCACGATTCATTCGAAAATCCCGCTCTTTTAGTTTTCAAACTCAGTTCTCGTTACGTCATGTTTTCATATCTCAAAAAATGAAATGAAAATGAAATGTGATTATTTTTACTTTAATTATTTCCTAACTTTAGTAACTTTTTAATAGATAAAACAGTTACAATTAAAAATGTCTTTTCATATTTAACTCAACAGATTACAATGGCGGAATGAAATTGTTTATGAGACTGGAAAAAAAGCAATAAGAAACATAACACTTGATTGTTTCTATTCATTAAATGAACGTCAATCCGCATTGTCACCAATTGAATGAAATTGTTGACCATTTCAATCAAAAACATTTTTAATAACAAAATAACACCTCTGAATCAGTTATTGCTTGTTCATTGTTTTACCATATTTGAAGCAAATAGTGAACGAATTTTTATTCTCGATAATCGCTGGACTGGCGATGATCACAGCATTGCGTACGTTGGCCTTAATGAGGTCCAAATCCTTTTCGATAACTTTCCCAACAAACAGCGTGATTTTTGCTTTCGAGTTGCGTAATACAAAATCGAGTAAGTTTTGTGTCTTAGCAACTTCTGCGAGCGTCGTGAAGTAGACCGTGACAATTTCCAGTTCCGGGTACTTATACAAATTTTCTTTCAGAAAGTAAAGCGATGAGTCAGAGATCTTCAAATTTTTGAGATATGGGTACTTCGTCTCAGTCATTGGGAGGTGGTTTGCAAAGACAAATTTCCGAGCAAAATGTCCTCCAACAAAGAAGTCTCTATCGGTCAATTGAATCTTCTGGACCTTCTCTAAATATTCGTCGGGAATTTTCGGAAGAAGGTCCGAACTTATTTGTAGGGTGTTTAATTGCTCTAACGCAGTGAAAACAATTTTGACGTCTTTAGGGTCTGATGATAATGGCGGGTTGGTGTGCATCATCGAAATCGCAGTCGCACAGTTGCCACTGACTTGTTCGAACAATGGAATCATCTTCGGTTCAATATATAGAAAGACGTTCAGTAAGTAAAACGGTTCGAGGCGCGTTGGCATAAATTGAAATTGCAAATGATTTTATTAATTTTAATGAATTTAATAAAATTTGCAATTTTTAATAAAAATTTTTTATTAAAAGTGGGTGTGATGTATATTTATATATAATTATTTTTTAATATAAAGTTGGTCTTTAAACGTTTTTCATTCAACATAAAAATATACTATATGTTCAAAAAAGGAAATTACAATCAGTCTTTAAACAATATCTAATACATCTTGGACTATATTATAAAAATCTAATATTTCAAGAAGTCGTCCTAAAAATCACATATTGTTTTTTCAACATTTTACCTAATGCCCGTTGTTTTTAAAAAACGAAAGCTATTATTATGTCCACCAGACAACATTAAAAAACTGATTCTTGTGAATAACATTTAAATACTGGTAAAAATTGTGAAACAATGTTTTTTAGTGTTTTAAACAGTTTTTATTATTTTTCTAGTTTTAATTATACAAAAAAAATAATTGACAACTTTTATAGACTGACTTTATTAAAAAATGACTTAATTTTTAATTAATAAATAATATATGATTGTTTATAATATAATATAATATAATATAATATAATATAATATAATATAATATAATATAATATAATATAATATAATATAATATAATATAATATAATAATCAATGTAGATCCCGAAAAAACAAGAAAAAATACTCAATTCATTTTTGCATTGAAATAGTTTTTTCCTTTTCTAATTTACTTTTTAAAACCTTGATTTGTTTCCACGTTAGCCAATGTGTTCGACAATATTTATTATACTTGTTTTTATCGTCGATAAGTATTTTTACATTATCAGTATTAATAATATTTTCAAATAGTTTGTTGATCTTTGAAACGTCTTCTTTATCCATTTTTTGTATAATCACAAAGTCATAGATTTGCCAAGTTAATTCGCACATGACTACACTAATAGCGCCAAGGAATGAGCACCCAAACATAGGTATTCTATAATCATTGAGTTTATCGGAAATAGGACCGACAATAAGTGGCAATAAGAACGCCACTAAATTGAATGTTAAAGATTCTTGTAATCCCTTTTCATTAATTATATTAAATTAATTAATTAAAAACAAACGACATATAAACTTGATATTTGTGATGTTAACAACGACAATTTAGATGTTGTATTTAATATATTTTGAGACGCAAAAGCGCCACAAAGTCCGAACATAATAGCGCATATTAATTGCACAATCCAATTGGAAATAGATCCACAAATAAAATGATTCACACAACATATCAACAGTGCTATTAACATACTCCACCGGTTGAAAAACAAATATTTCATACGTGCAAAGTTGATGAATCCAATTGTAAATGCAATGTACACTACACAGAAGAACACGCCAATAAACATGTCATACCTCCCTGGATCATCTTTCATCGAAGGAAAGAATGAGTCTTTGGTGCCATAGATCCTATTAAAATACTGTGATCCATAACTCAGTAAAGTCCCATAACACCCAATTGAGCAAAAGAAAGTTGGAATCAGATACTGCATCATTCGCTTTTTTAACCTTCTTCTTTCTTTTTTTCCCATTACAATTAGTTTTAAAGGTTTGTTTTTCACATCTTCTGTTTCTATTACGTTTGAAGCATTTTCGGAATTGTTGGGTGATTGTTGCATTTCTTTCTTTTCTTTTAAAGTCTCTTCGATGACTTTATTTTCATCGTGGCTCTCAGCTAATTCAATTTCTTTGTTTAACACTTCTTTTTTATCTTCAGATTTGTGATTTGTTTTTTCAAGTGTTAAATCAATGCCAAATACTGTTGACCCTTCCCAACAAGGATATATGAATAAGATTATTACAAGGGATGCTATTGAAATACTAAGAGACTGAGTGATCCCCAATTTTGTAAAAAGAAAAGCCCCACATAAATACCCAACCGATTGACCAAAGGTCCAAGTACCTGAAAATATACCCAACCAAAAATCGGCGTCTGATGCGGAACTTTCTCTTGATATGGAAGTTTGAATTGGAATCCAGAAAAGGACGTACTAATTATTATTTTAAATAATAAATATTTCATATTCAATAAAAAAGTAATTTAAAAGAGTCACTAAATATTTTTTTATACTCATATATATAAATATATTAGTTAAAAAATAACAAACAGAAAAAGAATACATGAAAGACATAATCCACAAAATCCACATGTTATCGTTTATAAACATCAGCAATAGACAAGCAAATATGTATATAAGAACACCAGCTCTTGCCAGTAGCCATCCAGGTAAATAGTTATTTATAAACCCACACACCCAAGACAGTAAAAACATTGCACCATAATCGATGGCATTAATTATTGCTAAATCTAAGTTGGAAGCACCTTGCCGAGTCGCTATAAGAGGCACTACAATCCAAAATAAAAAAGCACCAAAATTAAAAAGAAGTGAAGACGCACAATATCTCCAAAAGTTACTGAGAACGATTTTGATCAACACGTTGACCATTTTTTATTTTTAATGTTTTGGACAATTAAAAAGTTCATTCGAATAATATACATTTGTACCCAAGAAATATAATCAAATGTTATAATTAAATTGGTTTTTCAAAGTTTAAAATTGTATTGTTTATAATGAAATTAAATAAAAACAAAGAATCATTTTCAATTGCAATTAAAATTTCTCATAAAGTATTTATTTCATAAATATTCTTAGAGCCAGGATTTTTCTTAACATTTAAAGAGTTATTAAAATATTGAAGGAAATTGTTATATAGCACTATTTTTCATTATTATTAATATGTTTATTTGGTTTGTGTGCAATCAAATTAATTCATATAAAGTATTTAAATGATTTAAAAAATAAAATGGAATCAAAAATGATTCAAGAATTAATAAACATTAAATTCCTTTTTAAAATGTTTTTTTACAAAATTTATTCGAAATGTTAAAATAGAATTCGAGTATTTAAAAGATGAAACATATACAAAACTTTTCTTTAAACAGATGCAATCTTTTTAAACAATATAGTTTTATTTTATTTTAAATACAATAGGCAATTAAAATAAACAATACTATAAACAGGTTGGAAAAATGATGTTCTTCTGATAATTCAAGTTTCGAATTTAACTTTTCGTGTTTTTTCAAATCTTTAGAGAAATTTAAGATTGTTTTAAAGTTTAAAATTTTACTTAGAATTATGTTATTTTATATTGGTAAATGAAAAGTAAGTTGATAAAAACAACGTTCGAATTTTCAAACAAATTAAAAGAGACTATTCACTGAAATAAAGTTTATTGTCAATTTTATTATAAATAACGAGTTATATTTCGAAATTATATTACCTTTTTAAAATATCAAAAACAATGGATGAACAAAATAAAATAATATTAAACTAACTAATTATCATTAAAATGGGGGCATTTAAACACAATATACAAAATTACGATTTAATAAAATAACACAAAAATGGATTTTTATGTCGTAAAGTCCACAAACAAATAAAGTTATGACGTTGTTCCGTCACTTTATTAAGCTTTAAAATCGTAACGTAATAGCCATCGTTGTCATTATGCCGTTATAAAACCATTAACAAATAAAATGATTGATTAAGATATATAATTTAATTTTATTCACGTGTTT